CCATTTAACTGATAGTAATATTCGGTCAAAATTAATTATTTCGGTTAACGGTTAAACGGTCAAAAGGAGCATCCCTAATACCTGGATCATGTCCCCCCTTAGTCTCCTTTGCTCGAGGCTAAACAGATTCAGCTCAGCTAACCTCTCCTCATAAGACATTCATCTAAGACCAGGAATCTTTCTTGTAGCCCTACGCTGCACCTTTTCTAAGGCAGCAATGTCCTTCTTAAGGTATGGTAACCAAACCTGCACACAATATTCTATGTGGGGTCTTACCAAGGAATTATATAATCATAGAATCACCTCCCTTGACTTAAACTCCACACACCTAGAGATGTAACCCAACATTCTATTGGCCTTTTTTTATTGCTTCCCCACACTGGCTAGAGTGGGACATGAAAGCATCGACATACACACCGAGGTCTTTCTCATAATCAGCTACCTTTATTTCAGTGGAATCCATAAAATATCTGTACATACAGCTCCCTGCATGGGTTGCCTTACGTTTATCTATGTTATTTATCTACTTATTAACTGGATGCCTGTCAAGAGGTAAGAGGCCCCTGGGTGTGTTCCAGTTTTCAAGGTTTTAATCTTTTAATTACATCTAAGGTGGCACCTTAATTGTTTTAATTAGTTATTTTAATTGGTTGCACATTTGCTGGATCTATGAATTTGTTTATGTTTTACTGTTGTATTTTCATGGATTATTGCATTGTTTTTATTAATGAAGTATTTTTCTGCCGGGATGATGACAGAAGGAACAACGTTGTGCGTACAAGTTGACGTGATCCTGTTGAGACCAGTATAGAGAGAAAAAAACATACTACTTAAAATAAATCTAAAGATTTGCTTGTAGGCCTGTATCTTAAAAAACAAAAGTTTTTACTTAAAGAAAAAATAGCAAAGCAAAAAGCTAACAAACTGCTATTTACTTATATATGTGTGTGTGTGTGTAAAGGTATTGATGCTGTTATTCTTGGATTGCCCTGGTCCAGATGGAATGTTTGGAGTGCTCTCAGCAGTTATACTATAGTAAGAACACCTCATCAATGTTGAGATACATGTGAGAATGTCCAGAATGTTCTGCCCACAAGTCAGTCTACAATAAGTCCCGGTATAGTACAGTTGTATTACAGCTATACTAATAATAAATAATAACTTAAAGAAAAATGGCTCTTAGAAGGTTTCTTTTGAAGTGCAATCAGATATTTACGGGATGCACCCGGCTGGCATTGTCTGATAATGTACAAGCTAATGTAGACACAATACTGACAAAGTAACTCATTTTTTGCTACTTTAATATAACAGCTATTATTATGATTTATACCCTTAGCGTGTCCTTCCATATTTCTATTTTGCTATAATAGAATGACTACAATGGAAAGCAGTGTATGTTGGCCAAGTGGGCGATTGATTGAAAATGAATTTACTGATGAGATGATAAGAACAATTTCGGAGTTTGTTGCCGAGATTCAAACACTCACTCAGCAACAAGATTTGTAAAGTTTATTATATTAAACATATATTTAAATTGTATATTATTATTACAGCTTCAATAGTCCCAAACCAGAAAAAATCACTACAGTCATTGATTGACAAATCCAGAGTGGTGCAGCTAGTCTAGGCACGTAAACCCAAGTTTTTCTTAGGAGCCTGTTCCAACCTAGAAATTGTACATCAGAATCAGTTTTATTGTCAAAATAATGTGACATTTACAAGGAATTTGACCTAACATTTTGTTCCAATACAATCAAGATAATAAATACTAAAACTGTATATACATGTGAGCACAAAAGAAAGTACTAGTATAAAGTATTAATAAAAGCCCTACTACAATTATACTATATATATATACAGTATATATACACTCACCTAAAGGATTATTAGGAAC